CGGACTGTCGGAGTGGGTGTAGTCCCCTCCTCCCCCTGTCTCTTATACACATCTAGATGTGTATAAGAGACAGGTATGTGCAAGCGAGAGGGAGAGCGGCGAAGTGAGGCCAGCAGAGGGAGGGTTAGGGTCGAACTCAGGAACCACCCCTAACATCTCTTTCTCTTGCTAGTATGGTATGCCCATCTCTCTCTCCCGCCCCTCCCCCCACCACTCGCTCTGGCGGTCTCTTGCTCACTCTCTTTCATCTGGTGTGCCTCCGTGGAAAGCCATGGAAGAGAAATTGCATGCTTCATGATTTACCACGGGAGAGAAATTGGAAGTGGCATTGCCAACTGTCCTTAAAAAAAAACGGGAGGAGGGCTGGGAGCGATATCGGATTACATGTAGGACCTACTGGCAACCCATTGTCCCAGCACAGCTCTTTCTGGCCCTCCTCGTCTCTCCCTCTCTCTCTCTCTCTCTCTCTCTCTCTCTCTCTCTCTCTCTCTCTCTCTCTCTCGCTCGCTCTCGCTCTCTCTCGTATGGTGTGTGCCTGTGGCAAAGGAATTTCAAGCAGCAAGAGGTGGGATGCAAAAGAAATCCTCGGTTGGGCGTGCTGTGTACTTGTTTGCAAACATCTGACTTCCTTTGACGCACATTGCCCCTGCCCGCAAAATGACAAAAGACTGCATGATGTCCATCCAATGAACTGCTGAAATACGGACCCAAGTAAGAATCGAGATGTAATCAGATAAACAGAATAAAATAATGTTGAATTACCTGGGGCCAAAAGGAAACAGCAAGGAGCAAAACAGGTGGTGCGGATGTATGTAGGTGGTTGTGCGCCTACATGCTACCAGAAAGTCTCCGCGGGCATCCTCTTCGCCCAAGCCTACCCGAGAGGAGTGCAAAACGGGAACGCTCCTCGGAAGATGGAGGTCCGGTGCTGACCTGGGTCTCGCATCGGCCCATTAAGTGAGACCGGGGTTTACTTTTGATTGCACATGTATAGATAGATAATAGTGACCTGACTATTACTGCCTTCTCATTATAGCTGTATTTAGGGTATCTTTCAGTCTCAATACAGCTATAATGATCGTAGGTTGTATTCGGGAGAAGAATTTAATTTGATATTGTTTCGAACCGCCCGAGCATCTCCCAGGCAGACTTGAGAATTGAAATCCAGCCAGTAGGAAAATATTGGAGGCTCGGTGCCACCATACCAAGTTGGCCGGTGGCGAAGAAAACACCAAAAAAAAGGCACTGTGCCGGCAATTCTGCAAAGCTTGGCTTGCAGTGGGAATCTGCTCTCCGCAAAAAGAGTCTCGGATGTGCTGGTGGTTCGATGGTCGATCTTGGACTAGAGATTCTACCGCCCAAAGGAAATGATGAACACGGGATTGTTGCTGCAGTCGTGTATTAGACCTGTGTTGGAGGGTCTTTGAGATCTGAGTTGCTTTGGGAGAGGAGTCATCTGTGACTTGTGGTGCTGATGTGGGATTGTTGCTGCAGTCGTGTATTAGATCCGTGTTGGTGGGTCTTTGAGATCTGAGTTGCTTTGGGGGAGGAGTCATCTGTGACTTGTGGTGCTAATGTTGGGAACTTTTTTGTGTATGATGTTTTCATGTACTTGGTGTGCTCCATGCGGTGGCTGGCGAGAGCAGATTGCAGTGGACCGTGCGTCACCAAGGGATGAAGCGGCGGCTGCAGCCACTGCAGGATCCCTTGGCAGTTCTGCAGCTGTTGTGGGGACATCTGCGACAACTGGCGGCGTCGGTGGGCCGCTGAGAAGTACCGGAATGGTGAGCTCTGCTTATGGAACTGTAAGTGGAGGATCGGACATGGGCACATATTACACTGATCACAACACGAATGACAGGAACTGTCACAGCAGTGGCTCTGGTGGGATTCGCAGATGAGATGCGAAACATCAGTCCTCTTTCAGGGAAGTGTCAGATGAACACTCTGCGTGAGTGCTGACCTATGATTGGGGTCAGACTTGAGACCAATCTTATTTTAGCGCATACCTTCCAGGGAAGAGTCGTTTCCGGAGCAGTGGAGAAAAAAAGGAGAAAAACACGATTGGGTTGTGCGGTGCAATGCTGGACTTCTTAGGATGCGTGTGTGGTTGGGATGATCAAGGGATAAGACTGAGCATCGATTCTCCCTTTTGAGCAGTGTTCTTCTGCTCCCATCCAGTCAGCTATGACTGGATGCGCAGTATTGTACGGAGAACAACGGGATGCAGAGTATTGTACGGAGAATGCTCGAAGCGTTCGGAATGTTGTACTGGCATTAGAACGCTTGAAGCATCCGCGACATGATGCTGCCATCTAGGCACGTGCACGCATTCTCTGTTAGTTAATGGATGTAGGAAGCTGGGATCGCAATTCATTCCTTTCTCTTCTGCATGCGTGTGGATTGATGATAGGTATTGCCGGTTCTATCAGGACCGTCTTAGCCTGCGATTGATGTCCTAGCTAGCGACATTGCTGTTGCCTTGTCGTTCCCTCGCTGCTGGAGATCTGGATTTGCATAGGAATGTCTCCAAGCAAAAGAAGGTTTTCGCATGAGTGTTGGTCCTTGGTCTACGCCCGGTGGTTTTTGGGGGCGATTTGATGAGGGACCTAGCTAACGCGTTAAACACTCCGCCTAGGGAGTACGGTTGCAAGGCTGAAACTCAAAGGAATTGACGGGGGCCTGCACAAGCGGTGGAGCATGTGGTTTAAGGTAGGTTTCCTCTGTTCTCTTCTTTTGTTGGTTGCTGTTCTCTCCTATCTGGTGCCCGATCATCGCCTGTCTTGTTTGAGCGTTTGGTAGCGATTGAACTCTGTATTTGTTTTTGACGAAACCTGTGGGGTTTTGCTTTTCCATTGTACTGTTTAGCAGTTCATTCATGATGGGCACATGTTGTGCTGCAGCTTCCGTAACATGCTCCGATCGCAGAGCTACCACCGACGGCCAGCTTGGCCGCTCGCTATAACCACTGGACAGATTCCGAATAAGGAGAGGATCACAAGTGCCATCTGCCCCTGCGCCTCTTCGCTTGGGAGTCTCTTGATGCCGAGGATCGACCGGAAAGTGGCGGGGTGAGCGGTCGACAGTTTTGTATGCTTGCAGCTCTATACTGAAAAAAAAATGTGCTATTGCGGTGAGTGAGTTTTTGACCTCTGTGTGAGAGTTGTATGAATGCATATGTTAGGGGGGAGGGAGGG